CCCCAAAACCCCAAAACCCCAAAACCCCATTAAAGATATATGTTGAATATCAATGTGACTATATAAATAAATGAATACTTATAATATTTAGATCTGATCATATTAATAATATTTTATTATTAAAGAGAATTGCATTATGGATTAATCATAAATGCTTCTGTAGTAGCCAAATAACAATCAGCTACCTAATCAATCAGAATACAAGTCTTCAAAGCTATAAAACCCGAATAAAAGAGGTGAGGATAGATTATAAATGCAGAATATTAATGCAAATTTATACATGAACCATACACCCTTCAATAAATTTGTTGAGGCTTACCAGTCTATGCAAATGCTAGAGGAAAAGCTAAGTTATCTTAAAGAGTAATTTGCATTTGACCCTTTAAACTATGATCTTGGGCATACACAAGTTAATCAAGCAGCTATCTCTCTATAAGCCCACATGGTGAATAGCTTGAATTTCGAGCAATTCGAGTTTATCATTTATGCTCTTTAAGACATTCTTAAAAACTATCTTTCACAAGGTTCATCAGAGGATTCGAGATAGTCATGCAGGGTATCCGATATTTTGACATTATTAGCACCCATTCAATCTTTGATTATTTTATCCTTGGCAAAATGCTATACTTAACTCTTGATATCAGAATTCTTTGATTCTCAAAACTATGATGCTGAGAGAGTCTATATTATGCAAAATGCTTTTGATATCATAGGAGAATTAGCTTCATTCTTGATCACTCATTATGCTGGAAAACTAAAACCTGGCTTTAGACCGCAACTTCAATTAAAAATTTAAGATTGCTTAACTATTCTTTAAAATCATAATGAGAGGGAATTATTTAATAGGACTTTGAGCTCAATAAACACTAAGAAAAATAACAATATCGATAAGAAAAAGGTGCTAAATCGCTTTTTATCATCCGAAGATGATTCGAGAAATACCCTAGTGCCAGAATCTTAAAGGGCAGTGATTAGTGCAACAAGGCCATCATAGCCAGAGATGTTTAAATACAAGAAGATAGCATTTGGTTCAGAAAGACAATCCTAGAATCAGTAAATGCAAAATTAAGTTGGAAGCGGCTTGCAAACATAATAAGCTTCAGGCTAAACATAGGGCTCATAAAATTTCAATGAGACTGACAAAAAGGCAATCGAATCTTTGTTTTATTCATTGATTCAAATTAGTAATTCTCTACTTTAAGAAGCTTAAAATAGCAAGTAACCAAATCAGATCGAAAGTTTATTGAACTCATAATTTATACCAATTATGCTCCTTGTAAAGTAGTATGAACTAATATTTTTTGACTCTTTCCAAAACCTTCAGATGAAAAGAAGAATAATTGGAGGTGATAATTATGAATTTAATTTGCTGATGCATGATGTGCATACTGCTGCTCCATTTTAAAACTACAGTTTGATTACTCTTCTCCTAAGATCATTCTTAAAGGCAAATAAAGTAATGTAAACTCATTAAATACAATATTAGTAATCTCAGATCGTCTTCGATAAGATAAGACATAGTAAAAATGTTAGTATTAGCAGCAAAAATGAATTTCAACATTAGTCTATCACTAACTCTGCCAGTTTGCTTAAGAAAAATGATATTACCGCAAAAATAATTGATGACATTACTTAGCGATAGATTATTTATTATCTCGTTCACTATGATCTAGGAAGACAATAGCACAAAAGACAAGAGGAGGAATAAAAGAAATCTCAGATTATAATTGAAGAATAGAAAAAAATAGCTCAGCCTACTTTAAAGAGATAAAAAACTGTTGGTTTACTTAGCATTAGAACCTAATCATTAAATAGCTCTATCGCAAATGACCCCTTACTTTCAAGCAACAAACTTAGACAGATCAGGAGTCCTTTGAATAATCCTTTGAATGACATTTAATCTCCTTCAGTCTTTATTAAAAATTTAGTTGGCTTAGGCAACACCTAAGATGATGTAACTCCTTCTGAAACAGTATCAAGAGAACCTTTGAGGATTGAAAGAATAACAGATGAGGGCACAAGTAAGATATTTTCTAGAGAAATGGCTGCGAAGAAAACTGTTGACAATCAACTAAAGTAGAATGACTAGCCTGATCCAATCTAAGTTCTCAGATAACCTCAATCATATAGGGATCACTTTAAATCATCAGATCTTATACATAGCTCTGAAGCACTTATTAACCTAAGTGAAGCTAGAATTAATTGGATCAGAGTAAGTCACACACTTATGGAGTTACAAATTGAGACACTTAAATAGCAATTTGGATTAGATAGAGAAAATATCAAAGTATAATTCCTTTTCGACAGAATGTTTGACCTCTTAAAGATTACTCTCTACTTCATTTGCCAATTCAAGCACCATCAAGAGCTGTTCTACAGAATAGATGATTTGCAAGAAATAGCTGATACTGAGCTGTATCCATGCTTTTTAGCCAACACTTTCTAAATTGTAAGAATTTAATTCCTCATTTTTACTAATTAGATGATGACAATAACTTAAGGAGATAATCAGCATTTATAAGAGACATTTTATGATGAATATCTTGATATAATCACATTGCTCTCAATTGGCTTATACGATGATGTGGACAAGAATTTCATGCTTAAGATATACTATAATCTTTTCTTCGAAAAAATTTGTTAAAGAGGTACTCCTAAGCAATTATTCATGACCATCCCTCATCTTCTTAATTTCTTTAATTCCTTTTGTAAGTTCTAATTGATAAATCATTATATCATAGTTTATCCTCAAAAGCGTATCAAAGATGTAGAGGCTATAGATTACCTTAGATAGAAGAAAAACTATAAGATCCTGTATAAGAAATTGATGGCTCTTGACTAGACTTCAAGATAAACAGTTTCTACTCCATAAACAAACACTAATAGAATAAAGCCTGATGTTGAAGTCAACATGATACTATTTCAACAGCTTGTTCTTGGGACGATTTCTTTGTTAGCTCACTATAATTAGAAGAAAAATGATCTATGTTGGAGAGAAATTGAGACTATCATAAATTTTAACTATTCAACAGAGCTTAATCAAGCTAAGCTTTATCAATATCTAAAGTTAGTCTTACTCATAATGAGAAGTCAATAAGCCCCAAATAACTAAGAAATTTTCACTATTCTAATGGATGAAAATGATAAGGATTTACTGCTTGAGAGGAAATTTTGGAGTCTTGCTGCCTCTTCCAAAGATGAAAACTTCAATAAAAGTATATGGGAATCGATTATCTAGAAACTTAGAAGTTACCTTAAATTTTAATATGACAAGCAATAAAAGAAGTAGAATGAATAAGCTCAAAATAACAACAACAATAATTAGAATCAATAGCTAAGAGAAGAGATATAGTAACTTATTGCTAGAAATCTATCTGTAATTTAACCAGATAACAGATAAGGAGGAGCTGGAGCAAATGCAGATGTCATCTCTGAAGGAGTTTTCAATATGTATAAGAGATTCTTGATGTATGGTATCTAAAACAATGATATCTGCAATTAGCTTTATAAATTGCTACTGGAATTCGTTAGAGATATTATGGATATTTTAGACTTGAATTCGTATGATCTGGCATTAGTAATTACAAAGCACATACTAATTTCTAAAGATAAAACTAGAGATTAGGATGAAGTGTTGATAATTTTATCTGAAATTCTGAAAAGGCTTAACCCATTTATAAATCATTGGACAACTAAGCAGGCCTAAAACTAATAATAGACCCACAATAGATACAGAAATATAATTGATAGTGAGTAATTTAGCAACTATAGGGAACATGATAAAATAAAAAACAATGAGAAGATCAGAACATTTATTGCTGTAGCAGTAAGTGTTTTGACAAACTACATTGACTTCAGAGAGAATTTTAGATTCGAAAAGTCATTAGAGATGCTTTAAAAAAGGATATTCTTTGATGATATACTAGTTAATATGAGAAGACTTATTATAAGATCACGGTCACAGGCATAAAAGTTTGTAGATTAAATTATTAGAATATGCTTGTTTACAAGGATAGAACCACAAGTTGTGCCCATTTATGATCACACTAGCAAATCTGAATAAGACTATATGATCTAGAAAAATCAGAGATACTCGAATGCAAAATTCATAGATTATCTACTGCATCTAATAGTGGACATCACTGAGTAAATGGCTGATACGAATGCATGCGTACCGATTGTAATGAGTTTTATAAAAGCAATCACAAAGGAAATGGCTTAATCTTCTAACATTTAATGTCTCATTCTTGCAAAATCTATTAATACCAATATGGTTAAAAACTTTAAGAAGATAATGATTTATATCAGAGAAAAAGTAGAATTTCAAAATGATTTTGAGTTTATCGATGGTCTTAAACTATTATTAGAGAAAACTCTGGCAGCCATACCAAATCCAATGATTTACAAGGAGTTCTTCTCATTCTTAAGAGAGATTTTCTATTATAATAAGGATATGGATTAAGTTGATTGCCAGCTTGCTGGAGATGTCCTCGAGATTCTAAATAACTTGATGAAGAATAAGGGATCGGACTAAATTATTGAGAAAAAGTCCAAACTCTCAGTGCAGAAGTTCCTAATGAATGATTATTTCTACATTTCAGATTACTCTCCAGGAATAATATTAACAGACAATTTTAAACCACCTTAGGACTGCTTCTACCTTACAATGCTGTTTAACATAGATATGAAAATGGTAAGATAACAATATGAAGAGAAGAAGACTGATTCAATTTGTCTCACTCTATTTACTATTAAGAATGTAACTGATCCATTTTAAGACCCATTGCCTATTTATGTTCAAACATATTAAGATAACTTTAAGGTGAGATTTTAATCTATTATAATCTCTATAGTTGTTTGATTTTGTTGAGAAAATTGATGATAACTGGCATCTTCTAATAGTTTAGTTCAAATACAAACAACATAAGTTATCTTCAGATGAATACAAGATTAAGATATTTATAGATTCAGTGTCTAGACCTATTGGCTTATCTGTTGATATGAAATATTAGAAGAACAGCTAATATGTAATTGCTTTGGGGTAATATTTTATACAATTTATAAATTTAGTTGCTCTCTTACTGAGTATTAGGATAAAGGAATGAAAATCAAATCTAATGAGATATTCCAGGGAAGACTTTCGTTCATATTTGGATTTACAAAGTTTAACCTTGACAAAAACTTGAATGATAATGATATGAGAGAAGGCTTCAAGATGTTTATCTTCAATCAAATTTAAAAGAAACACATAATAAATCTCTCACCACAAGATTTGACTAACTTTTTTAAATCAAGACAAATTAAGCATCCAAAGGACTTTCCAAAAGAATTTGAATGTCTAAATGACTTAAATGAACAAATAATTCTGAAGCATCACGCTGCAATTGAACTTAATTTCATCACAGCCATTCATGCTATTAGACCACATCAAACATTTGTAGGTTTAGGTGGTTTTAAACTTATGTATCCCTTGTTTGAGAAGTCACTTTAGTCTAATCTTTCTAAATTCTAAAAGTCAGACATTTGGAAGAATTTATTCAAGATACTCCGCACTTTGATGAATGTGGAGCCTGGTCACGTTTCTAGACTCTTCAGAAATAAGAATCTAATAGAGATTCTCAAATATTGTCTAATCAGAGGAGGACTCTAGAATATTCTGACCAGAGACCTTATCAACTATGTAATTTAACTTTTGAGTGATATCAGAACTAATGATTCAAACAATGAACTCGAGGGCTTTTACAAAAGATACTTGTATGATATAATACTTTGCCCTAAGTTCTGTTTCTTAAATTATACAGATAGCAGTAGACTAAGAAAAGAAATCAAGGTTTTCGTGGAGGTCGCAGATAATCTGTATGCTATATTCTAAGACTAGTACTTCAAACCTAGCTATAAGAATAGCAACATTATGAGATTACTTGCTTCTGAAGAATGCTATTAACTATTAATGAAACTTATTCAGAAGTTCTCAAGCGTGTAGTATATAAAGCAAACTAATAAGATTGCTAAGATTTTAATTAAAATTGCAATAACTATTGGCTATAAGGAGGGATTCATGAGATTGATAGATATAATTCAGAAAAATCACATTGATAAAGTACCACTTGAAAAGACCACTACTAATACTCTTCTAAAGATACTTCTTGGGATTATCTCGGATCCTATGTTTACTAGATCTCCACTTATTTAAGTTTTCAAGATGAAGTCAAATATAGATCTGCTTGACAAGCATTTAGTATAACTTAAACCAATGAATGAGTATAATTAAGGAGAATTAGATAAGATTAGAGATTCTATAATAGCCTTGACATTCAAGATAGAATATGATACATTCACCAAATTCAATGATAGCTTTAGAGCAAGATTACCACCAGAAAGAGCAATCAGCTCTCATTAGCCCAGATCTTTAAGCTAGGATGATAGAAACATGTTTATCAATAGAACTTTTGATCAAATCAAAAAGAATAAAGAACCTATGCCAATGCAAAAGACAGTGTGCACTTTGCTTATGATTTCATTCGAATAAGCTTTCAGAGATATGTAGAAGAATCAAGGCTCTCCTCATAAAATACAGATAAGGTACAATCCACAGTCTCTAATAGAGATAGCCAAGCATAGAAACTTCATAGACTTGATAAACAGCAAATACTTTGACAAAGATATTTTTAACAAGGTCAAAGAACTGTTCTATCTATTTGATTTCAATACTAAGTCCTTGTTCTTAAACTTCTTCAAGCAGATTATAGATGTTCATGATGAAATCAGTGAAACTGGCTAAATGAAGTTTATGATGAATATACTGAAACTTGAAACAAACATCAAGACTATTGTTGAGATGACGTTGAAAACTGAAGACTAAAGCATAATAGATTTCTCAGAAAGAATAGTCTCATCTGTGATAAAGTCTTACTTTGATAGTTCTCTTGATATCCAACATCTTGATTAAATGAACACGCATTACTCGGATGAAGAGAAGCAATATCTTAAATTCATTAAGATGTTAATGTGGAGTCTCGATCATAAGAACTTTTCTTAATTAGTAATAATTAACGATGCTCTAAGACATGCTCAGGATGTCTCCTTGATAATTGATGATGTCAAATACAATGAGACAAATAAAGTAAACTTTAACATTAAGCTTATCAGTATATTGTAAATGGTTGAAGAAATCATTTTCAGAAAGAGCAAATAAGATAGGTTATTCTTGGATGAGTAATTCTATCAAATATTGGCAAGACTTCTAATCCTATTTGATGAGAGATAGATTATGTACTTCGATTAACCCAGCCCTAATATCCTAGAGAGTGAAAGACAAAGCATATCACTTAACCTTGAAGGCAGTGAAGTAGAAAACATCAGACTTGATTCAAAAGATACTATAAAAGCAAGAGACTTTGAGTTCATACTAGGAGGGCCATTAAGAATCATACTCTCATTTTTACTACAAATGATGAGAAAATACCAAGACAATGAGCATTAATTCGACTGGCTAATGCAAATGATGAGATTCCTAATATTTAGGGATGAATCGGATTTCATTAACCAGTTCAGAGTTTAGACTAATACCTATCATTTAACTATGAATAAGAATGAACGCAAAATCCCATTGTTCAAACTGATCTTTGGAAGTACTGAGAAAATTAAGAACATGAATTTTAAGCTGACTGTCTATGACCTTACAAGAATGTACATCGAGAAGTAGGGAGAATACTTAAACCAGAGAGAGACTATGACTAGTTGTCCTGGCTTTATAGCCTTTCTCCTTGTGTCAGAACTCTATGAAATCATAAGAAGAAAATTGATTCAAGAATACAACGACCAGGAAAACTTATTAAAGCAGAGAAATCTCCAGTCAGTCATTTTAAAGCTATTCGATCTACTTTACTAGATTCTTAAAGAATACTATTAAATTAAGGATTTAGAAGGTATGGATGAACTTTCTATGGGCTAACTAGTACTGACAATTCTTCATCCACATTTAAAGGAAAATCTGTTTCATCAAATGAGATAACCATTCCTGTAGTCTTAGGATAATCACAAGATTTTCTTCTTGAGCAAGCCTTATCATCCAGAGATAATAGACTATCAAGAACTCGATGATAATATGAAGGATAGCTATTTCAGAATGAAAACTCGCAGCCCAATGCACTCTGAGATCTAGTCCAATATAGAGGAGAACAACACAGTCATGAAATCATAGATAGTGATGGAAGAAAATACTATTAAAAGTGTGTATGAAAATGAAGAAGATCAGCTATTTAGAAGAGCTGACTTAGAAAAATCCGACATCGAGACTGAAATAGAGCAGAGGCAATACCTAAATGCTTATAATGAGGTGAGGCCAAATGAAATGTTCTAGGACTAGGTAATGGAGCACTTCTCCAAACTGTATTCACAATTGAACAAGATATTTGACACTGTTCTGCCTAACTCGGATCCTGAATAAATAAGTTAAAGTGTTAAACAAATTAAGCAAGTTTACTTCGACAGTAAACCAGCAATGCAACTAATGCAATGTATCAGATAGGTATCAACAGAGAAATTCAGAGAATCTCTGCAATAAATATTTTCATCTTACAAAAGCCAAAATGAAATCTACAATAAGATTATCAAGAGCGATGAGGAGATAGATGCCTATTATCAGAAACACAAAATGAAGGTTCAAAGAACTCCTAAGCTAGAACCTGACAGATCTTGGATGACTTCTTAAAATGCCAACCTAGGCTAGTCACAAAATATGCTCTCCTCACAAAGAATTTTGAATCAATCCCAGAATGTTCATTAAAAGAATGATATAAACATTGCAGATAGCTTCACAACCTCTTAGATTTAAGATAATTTCACACAAAAATTGCCTATTAAGAGAGTTGAATCAGTGGATTCACTGAATACATTCGAGATTTACAGTGATAATGGTTAAGTAAGAGGTGATAGTATTCTGAAGCAAGGAACAGGGCCAGGTGGTAAATAAGACAGAGAACATAGAACTCTCCAGTACTACTACACTAAGTACCAATATTGGAAGATAGTAAAACGACTTGAAGAGGATCAATCTTCAATGTGGTATGATAATTTGGAGTAAATAAGGAAAGACTATGCTGACCTGAAAGAAATTTATGACTTGATAACTGCTCCTAAAAAGAATACTCACAATAACAATAATCAGGAAGAGTTCAAATCCAAGTCAGTAATCAATGATCCCCAGAGAACTCCAAGAACTATGCAGTAGGCTAACTCAAAGAAGAGATAGTATGACCACTTCGTCAGACAGAGAAGAAATGCCGATAGCTGGGGTAGGATGTTTTTACTGAAGCCAGATAGAAGATACAAACAGACTAACTTCTGGATGACTCACATGTACTTTATTCACGATTTCATGAAGAGTATGCTTGCTGTTGGCTTCCTAGAGGACTCTGACTTCAGTGATGCTCAGACTCTGATCAATAACCTCTTGATGGAGAATGCTTAGAGACAAGTAGATGAGTACAATGAATCACTGGGAAATACTCAAGAGGCAGGCACTAATCTAGATTTCATGAATGCCAGTCTCGAAAGTTTTAGACAATCACCTTAGTCTGAGTAGCTTAAGAAACTAAGGGAGATGCTTATTAATAAGATAGAGCAGAATGATTTTCTGTACAGCCTTATGTCTAATCCAGATAGTATCATAGACTAAATCCACGATAGACACTACAAGGGACCTTATGATTTCCACAACATTGAATACTCTCTGGATTAACTTGAATTTGACATTTAGTATATTGCTGTTGAAGGTCCTTACTTTGGTAGGTTTTACATCTCCAACTAGTACATCATGTTTAAGAGTAAATGTGAACCCCTTGACCCTGAGAAGTTTAAATTTGCCTTGCATGTACGTTATAATTACTAATCTTAATTTCATAACTTACCCTTAATTTAGCTTGACCAGCAAATGCGAAAGAAGGATAAGATCTGGCACTACAACGAAATAGAGCAAATATTCAAGCGCAGATTTTTACTAGTGCATCAAGCTTGCGAGATATTCACCAAGGAAAAGAAGTCTTACTTCTTCAACTTCTTCAATGAGGAGAACTGCCACCTTTTCTTCTAAAGGATCAAGGAAATATACTAGAGGAATAAGTACAGCAAGGCTGAAATTATTACCAATCCCAGAGATGAGTTCAGGAAAAAAGAGTTCAAAAATGTAAGTTATACAATCTCTAATGATTTATCGAATAGAAATGGCTTAAAGGAGAAATTTCAAATCAACAATTCTTATTGCTTGTTAATAAGTACAGTGGCAGAAGCTTCAATGATCTCACATAGTATCCAATATTCCCCTGGGTTCTTAAGGACTAGCACAGTTCATCATATAGTGAGTTAAAGGATAAGATAAATAATAACCCAGGAGAAGTACTGAGAGACCTTACTTTTACTACTGGAGCTATTACAGAGTTCAAGAGATAAAATGCAATCAATCAATACAGAAAAGATGAGGATGCAGTACAAATTTACGGAAACGAAAAATTCCATCTGAAGTTTGGATACTCAAATAAGATGTTTTCTTTAGCCTATCTAATCAGACTTGAACCATTTACTGATAGTTTTATCTAAGTTAACAAAAGTCTAGACAACCCAGATAGAATTATGTACAGCATTGGAGATTAATATCACAGTGTTGAGACAGATCCGCAGAATAATAGTGAATTGACTCCTGAGTTCTTTTACCTACCTGAAATTCTAAGAAATCACAACTTGAATCACTTTGGTAGAAACAGAGAAGGAACCTGTGTGAATGAAGTGATTCTTCCTCCTTGGGCTAAGAATGAGCATGACTTCGTTAGAATTAACAGAGAGGTCTTAGATTCCAAAATAATAACATCAAAGCTTCCATTTTGGCTAGATATGATATTTGGAGCTAAGCAAGCTAAGGAAGAATGCTATAATATCTTTTATTGCTACGCTTATGAAAATTATGTTGGTGTCAAGTCTAACAGAGACCAAATGGAAGTGGCAAATATAGATACCATCAAAGAATTCATGCAAGTCCCTTACCAGTTGTTTAAGGATGTTCTCGCTACAGAAAAGACATTTAAAATTATCTTTGGAGGCTAAATGGTTTCTGGATAAGTAAGTGGATAATTACCTAGCAGCTAGCAGATACCTCAGCATTAGATTGATGATATGGAATCTCTAGAAACAAATCAAACAGAATTTGGCAAGAATAAAAGCAAAGCTGAGAAAGGGTAAAGTGGGCTGAAGAAGTTCTTTTTCAAATAGCCTCCATAATAAGTGACATCAAGAGTTTAAACTTAAAATCCTGCTTCATCATCACATTAAGTGATTATAGGAAGAAATTAGCCTGCATCATCTCTGATAAGAAGATTTTTAGAAAAGCCAAAGCCAAAAGATTCTGAAATCAATAATATTTGTGAAGAGCATAAGATTTCAGATCCTAATAGACAAGTTATTCACATGCTCCTCTCTCTAAACAAATGCCTGGTGTTTGTTTCAGATAGGTTCTAAAATGAAGGATTTGGTAATGGATATATAAGTGTAGCTGGATGTAGAGAAAGTTTTTCTTAGGATGAATTGAAACCACTATGTAACCTCGGGATAAGGATCTAAAATCTCAAGGGTGATTTGAGCGCAGTATTCCAGACTACAACTCCAATAAAAAATACATAAAAGTACCCTCTGATATATATCGGTCAGAATCTTGATAATACAATCAAAGTATTCGATCTCAATGTTAAGAAAGGGCAACCCTAATTAGTCTATCAAGAATCAGTTAACAACGTAATACATTTTAAACTTTAATCTAATCTTTGTGTAGAATGTTGTGAATGTGATAAAGTTCTCTCAAGACTCTAAATACTTTATAACTGGCGATTAGGACGGAGTAATTCATCACTATTGCAGAGATACAGAGGATATTTATGATTATTAATCATCTGCTCTGGCATCCTCAGCTCCTATGCCTAAATTTGATCAGAAAAACCCTGCTTTCCCCTATATCTTAAAGGTATTTTGAACAGCTAACTTAATATATTAGTATAAAATCCAAGATCACATGGCTGCAGTGATTGGCGTTGATATAAACATGACTTTAGATATGTATGCTACAGCCTCATCAGATGGAAACATCTTCTTGAGATGTCTGAGAACATCTTAACTTTGGAAAGTTATCCCAGCTAGTATTCTACAAGTTCCTCATATTTAAGTTGTCTCATTGAAGGTAATTCAAATTTATTTCTAATATTACTTAGATCTCATTGCACGGCTATGTAATTATTGTAATTAAGACAACTCATGAAACACATATTTATGTATACTCTATAAATGGAGATATTCTCACCCAGCAAATCAAGGCTAATAACGTGTTTGAGTTGAAATATGTTCAACTGAGCTAGGCTGAGGATCATTTGATTTGGGTAATAAACAGGAAAAATAAAAACACTGATATTGAATGGAATGGTTAAATTAGATACCTTAGATTATATGACTTAGAAATAAAAGAGAACAATCTGGAATTAGCCTTTTATTAAGTACTTTGTAATTAAAACCAAGGGAACTAAAGTAATCATTATTTTAAACTAATATTATTTTAAAGGTCAAAACAGTAAAAATTCAATAAGTACAAGGCAAAACAAGCCAACTATGATGCCTGCAATAAGATGCTTTACTATGAACTAGGATGAAAGCAAATTGAATTTATTCTTGGCAAATCAGTTAATATACTGCTTTGATGAAAGCAAAGAGCAAATTATCAAGCAACTTGATGATTTTGGTCTCACATGAAAATGCATTCACTATACTAAAGAATGCTATCAAAATTATATCTTATGATTTATTTATCTTTGATTGAGTATTGATTTAAACTTTGATTTCATAATTTTACACAAATTCATCTCTCATGGGGTTTTGGGGTTTTGGGGTTTTGGGG